CATAGGGGAAGAGGGGGGAGGTGTAGTCGGGCTTGGGGGCCTGCTTGACCAGCACGTGCAGCGCGACCGTCAGCACAATGTGGATGCCGATGATTATGAGGTACACCCAGTAGCGGGAGTCGAGGTTGTAGGCCAGTCCGAGGCCGATGGAGGTGCCGCAGATCGCAACAATCAGGGCCGTGCGGAGAGCCCTCTGGGCGGTCGATTGGTTCATGGCCAGACTTGGGGGGAAGGTGTAGCGCTTCACGATAAGGGCCAGGGCCACCTGGGGTGTTGGTGCGTTGGTTGCGGTGGTGCTCAGTGTCGGGGCCTCCGAGGCCGAGGTCGCTGGGAAGAAGCGTTGGGGAGAGCACGCAAAGCGCAGCCCTGGAGGAGTAGCACAGCCATGGGCGTTGCGGATGGGTTTGGGCGGAGGGATTATAAGGGATTGGGTCGGCTCGGGCCAGAAGGAGCCGCATCAGAGACCCACCACACCAAACACGAACAGCGTGCCGGCTGACACCAGGTTGATCTGTGTTGGGGGGTTTGAGAGGGGCGGGGCCGCACGTCATGTGCTACGAGGTGCAGCCTGCCGTGGGTGGCCCAAACCGATGCAGCTGCCTGACGAGAAGACACCAGGATGTTGGACGCTGCACACAGGCGCCATCTGGCGGTTCAGGGTATGACTACAGCCAGCCGGCGAAAGCAGGTCCTAGGTGCGTCCCGCATCGATCCGTCGTGCCGTGCGCCGCGGCACGCGCGGCCCCCGCAGCCGCAGCCGGCGCACCAACATGGGCAGATCACTCAGCAGGGCGAGCACGGTGGTGGGTACGCCGAGGATTAGGGCGCTGCAGGGCGCGACGCGGCAACGGGGGCGGGGCAAGGGCTTGGTCGTTTTGCAATTGCTGCAGGTGCTAGGCCCGCCCACGACGGCGGGAGCGTCGTCCGAACGCCGCCCCACCAAGCTGTCACGGGGCAGACAGTCTCTAGGTTTGAGCGCGACTTTATTGCGCGCAGAGCCGCAGCCCGCGACAGCCGACCGCCGACTATGCGGCCAGGCAGGGTTGCCGATGTCGGTGGGCCCCCGAGGACCCCCAGGCGTGCTCACGCGACCGCGGGGGTGTTGTACTTGGGGTGGACGTGGCCGATGACGGGGAACACCAGGTGCGCGCGGCCGACGGCGCTGAAGATGCGGGAAACAGCCATGCTGCCGACGAGGACGCCGGTGACGATGCCGAGAAGGGCCCCCAGGGCAACGATGACGCGCATCCAAGGCATGCCGGCGGTCTCGAAGGCGGCGGCGAAGGCGGCCTTGGGTTCGATGGAGGTGTAGGGGACCATCATCACCAGGC